CGCCGCCGTCATCACAGGGGTAAGCCGCCCGCCAGCACCTGTCGCCTGGGCATGCCGGGGCTCGCCCAGGGAGGCACAGGACAGGAGCTCAGGGCGCGCGGGCAGCGTGGCCCGAGCGGGACACCTGCCCGGGACACCTGCTCGGGAAGGCCTTTGGCGCACGGGGGAAAGTGCCCTGCCCAGCCATGGGGGTCACCCGCCACCCCCGCCACCAACTGCTCCCACCGACCTCACCCCGCTCCCCCTCAAGCCTGCTCTGTGCTCCTCTGTCTGTCTGTCTGGCAGAAAGAAGTTTCTTTCTCAGCCTTCTCAGGTACTTTTCTCCGAGTTGCAGCTCGAACCTTGCATTTTAAAGACGGCCCCTCCCTGAGTTGCAAAGGAGCAAGAGGGAAAGAGGGATACCCCAGGTCCCCGGGTCCTAGTCCAGCATGGAAGGACTTTGCTCCCCGGGTGTCCTCCACAAGAGCCCTTGGAAATCACTTGGGTCAGGGCTGTGTCTGTGCAATCGCAGGCTCTTCTCCTGGATTCTTGAGGTTCTCCCTGTAAAGTGTCCCGTTGATGATGGAGTCTGGGCCACTAGACGTGTCAACTTCCAGAGGGCGTCCTGAGTGGCTTTGGAAACAGCCACTAGTTCAGTCCTTTCCTACTCGCAGCTGTTGTTTCTAGGCGAATCTGAAGAATGAGTTTACAGCACACAGTTTTTAAAAGCCTCTTGTAGTTCACCATCATCACTGCAAAACCGCTGCTGTTTGCTGGTTGTGCCCCCGTTCCACTCTTTTCCTAAGTGTTAAAGTATTTTGCTTCATTGCGTTAAATTCATTTATTTCATTAAGTTACTTCAAACATCAAAGTGCATTTTGTGTGTTTATATAACACATGTATTTGAAATGATGATAAATGGGAAATGCAGTAAGGCTTAACTCTCTGTTCTAATAGGTCACAGTGCTGACAGCATTTGGTCAGACCCAAAAGATATTTAATTATAAACTTGTGGTTTTATTAGAGTATTTTTTAAACAAATTATCTGTATAGATTGTCAGTGGCCAGTCTGTGTGGCTGAACAAAAGGACTTAGGGGGTTTTTTGACACATGAGAATTGAAACATTGTGGAGACTTTCTCCTCCCTCTTCCCTGCTGGCTCATTTTAAATGTCTACTAATCCTGTGTCCAAGGTTCCTTTTCCATATAGGTATCTTTTTGTTCTATTCACAGGACAGCACTATTTGAATGGATCTGCATGGGTTACTGATGAAGGGCATTAGGAAACAGATAATTAAAAATAGATAAACTTATCTACTTCTTCCTAAGTTTTGTCTAAGAGCTGAACCTTTCATTACAAAAGAACATTTTCTCACCTTGGTTATCTGTTACAGAGATTTAGACTTGGCTTGATACATAGTCCTATGCTGGCTGTTGTTATTGTTTTAATTCAGTGCTACAAAAAGAGTTATAAAAAAAAAAACTTTCTCTAAAGCCACGTGGCAATAAAGTGTCATTTTTGTCTCCCTGACAGGAACCACCTAGATTCAACTGAAAAACTTAGTGACTTCTCTAGATATATTACATATATAGAGAATGTTAAACACCAGAGTGATTGATTGAGGTTTAAAAGATTCTGGCTAGATTTTTTATTATGCTCTAAAAAGAGTGGGTGGGGCTTCAGAATTCAGGCTATACCCATCTGTTGAAATAAAATACTGGCTGAGACTTCCACCCAAAGTATTTATTTTAGCAATATATGTAGGTATTTTGAAATTGATTCATATGTCCATAAAGATTTCTTAAAACATATTGGAAAAGTTTGTCGACTGGACATCTCACTTACGGAATGTGAAAGTCATGTACACGGGATTTCTGACACACGTACAAATGTTTGGATATTGTCCCATGAAATCCAAACCATCCAGAGTGAAAACTGTAGTTTTCAATGTACATACTCAATTTAAATAGAGAGAAAATTCTAAAGGAGGAAGTAAATAAACTTTAAAGCAAGATATTTCACTTTTAGTGAAAAATAATGCTAAGAACATGTCCATATATTTATGTTTTGAGAAGTCATGGTTGGCCCAAAACTGAGATCTTAGAAGGACTGTTTAGTTGTTTACAATAAATGCACATTTAACTTTGTGCCTAAATTATAGCCTTTGTAGGTTCTTACATGTATAGCATGAGATGCTTTTACCTTATCACAAGCAAAACCCATTATTGCACACCATTTAGACAAAGCATCCCACTTTTTATTGGTTTTAGGAAAAAAAAATCACTCTTCAGATCCATTGTATTAAAGACTTCATTGTCTCTGTTCAGCAGAGGATGGAAATTCCTCCATAGCTGAGTCCTTGTATTTATCTTGGGTTTTTATATTGGGAGCATGTGCTTGGAGTTACTACCATGGACACTGCATTTGTTACTTGCACCTCTTAATCCTTTGAATCTGTAGGATGCGCTGACTGTGGGATACAGAGTCACACCCTAAGCCACTCATTTCCACTTGACAAGCTGCTCATCTGAAATAGGAGGCTCACAAGGCAAGAGGCTTGACTGTCCGTTCTCGACCTATGAGATTTCTTCATTTAAGGAGGAGATGGTGGCGGTCACGACAGTGGTGTGAGAAACACCAAGCCTCCTGAACCAAAATGCAAACATTTGAAAGGGAAAAACAAACACGTCTAAAATTTACATCAGTGCCTTTATGGGTCTGGAGTGCTTCATGCCAGATTTAGAAACCGTTTAAATCTCTTTTCAAAACTAGGCCCAATGTATTCTGTAGTTAATAGTCATAAAATCTTGCAATTCGATTTATGTAGTTCCTTATGGCCACATACCGTCTAAGACTAATATAGACTCACTCTTCAAGCTTAAAGCCAATTCAGCCATCAAGCTCTGGAAGAAGAGAGCTGATTTTATTTTTTAAAAAGTCTTCTGTTTAAAGGGTTCATAATGTGTAGGCCATTATTTAGTCTACTCTTGAAAATCTATGCTGATCAGATTTTATTGTGGATATGTGCGAGCAGATGAAGCTTTTTAAATATATGTGTGTGTGTGTGTGTGTGTGTGTGTGTTTATTTAAAATCATAGCATTTGGATATTTAAGGAGCATTTCCCTTCTAATTTTAGATTCCCCCACCCTGAGTCTCTCCTGCTGTCTGTATTTATCTGTTTGTTCCTTGCATTTCAGGCCTGCGACAAGGACCCCCAGTGTGGCGGAGGCATGTGCTGCGCTGTGAGCATCTGGGTTAAGAGCATCCGGATCTGCACACCGATGGGCAAAGTGGGAGACAGCTGCCACCCGCTGACTCGGAAGGTCAGTTGGCCTCATAAGGGTTCTCTTATGTTGCCCAGCCACCCCGAGAAAGACCTGTATGACAGGAACTGGGGACAGTTTGCTTGAAATTGGAAGTCAGGAGAGATGACAATGGGAAGACAACTCTCTTTTCTCTCCCCTTTCGTTTCAAAGAACCAGGCTTCTCCTAGCCACATCCTAGAATTAGAGGCACTTCATCAGAATAACTTCTCCCATGCGAATTCACTTAGAAATTATTTAGGACAAACTATATAGGATACTCTACTATGCATCTTTACAGAAACCACAGTATAAAAGTTCTTGAAAAGACTTGTAATATCCAATCTGCTGATAAGGCACAAGAGAATAACCTTTGTGGTGGAGGGGGGTTGTGATTATTTCAGAAATCATGGATAATACCATTATCCTTATATCTTAAAAGTTCTAAATTTTACCTCTGTATCTATGGGATGCATTGTCCATGATTTTAGAGATTATTGTTATGTACATTTCCAACTTCCTTGCTCATGTAGCAGTTCAATCACAGTAATCTAAATGATGCTTTGGGAAAGTTATTGACAATGTGTAGGGTAGCCATGGGATGGAGTGTCTGCACAAGGCTTTAGGGGTGGGGTCCCTAGGTTGCAGGCTTGCCCCTCTGCAGGGGCCAGCAGGTTTGCATCACATCAGGAAGCAGAAGGGAGCAGAGAAGCTCGTGGACCTGGAGGGGCCTTGCCTTCAGATTGATGGGTCAGCAATGCCCTCCAGGGATGCCGGGCTACAGCGACTTCCTCTGGTTCCCCTCCTGGTTCCACCGGTCAGTGAAATGCAGTCCAGGGGAATTGAGATGAGCCCCCAGCCAGGTAGCCTGACGGAGACAGAACTCTGGACACTCTCATTTGAAAACAGGTTGAGTGTCTTCAAATCAGATAGAATTGCACATTCTCTCTTACTTTTTACCAGGCGAGTTAGGGGTTCAAATTGCAATAGAATGAGACCTCTTTCCTCTAATCCATCTTGGAGTGAACACCGTGAAATAACCTGCAGCCTGTTGGCAGAAGGGTCAGCTCTGTGAGCTGTGAGACAGATTCCCATTGACGGGGCCTCTCTGAAGGCTGCATTAGCCACTGGCTTTCCGGTGGCTGCCTTGTGAAATGTTTCCTGTTACGTTGGGGCCATTCCTGCCTGTGGTTTCACCGTGCAAGACAGTACTGTCATTTTAAGGCATGACATGCATCTTTTATTCTTAGTGATTTTAATACAGAAAAGGTTGTAAACGATTAGCTGTCCATGTCAATGCCAGACTCCCCACGGCAGCTGAAGCTGGCCCTGTGCCCTGGGCATCGATCCTCATTTTTTTTATCACATGTACTGAATGTGAGTCGTCCTTGGTACGCTTAGGTTGTTGGCCATGAAAAGGTTGCTCTCGCCCTGTGCCTTGAAGGATCCTTGTTTCATGCAGTGTTGGAATAACTCCACTTGCCCTAGACCCTAAAATCTGTTGTCCTTTCTGAAAAGGACACCGTGTGTGATCTGTATGCTAGTACCACTGATGGTTGCCGCTTGTCGAGGGCTGTGACGTGCCAGGTACTCCACACTGAGTGCTGTGTGTGTGTGTTTCTTCACACTCACTGACTCCTGAGAAGCAGGTTGACTTTGGTCACAGTGGAGCCTCCACAGGGCTCAGGAGCTAGTTGAGACTGCAGTCTACACTCGGGGGCACACATTGACCTTGGCTTCCTCCCGACTCTCCATGGTCCTTGTGGACCTGACCACATGCCTCTTGACTTCACTATAATCCATGTGCTTGGGGGGATGAGTTGACCCTCCACAGTGGGCACTGGTGCCCGATGGTTTTGCTGACTTTCCAAATGGGAGTTGCTTATCCCTGGTTCATAGATAACTCCAAGTTCAGGCGTACTGTCACGTGGACCAGAGAGCAAACGGAATCCGCCTCTGGTCACCTACGTGGACCTCCAGCATTTGGTTTTCATCACAGTCTGATAGTGAAATCTTCAACTAAGGGACTGTGGTTTTCATGGTGAAGTGAAGTGACAGAATAACACAGATACTGAAAGACAAGGCTTGGGGTCAGACTTTAACTTTGCCCCCATTCAGTTGTCCACTTGAAATGTGTTTCTAGAACTCAATTTTAACTTTTTTTTTTCCTGTCTTGAAACTAACATTTTCAAAGTCACTTTGATGATGTAAGAGTAAGTCATAGACTTGTTACAGATGAAATTAGCCGATTTGGAAAAGAAAAAAAAAAATCTAGTTTCTTCCAGGATATCTCTCTGTTACATTCCCTTCAAAACAGGTGAAAAAGAAGGTTGTTCCTGTAGATACCCCTGGTGAACCTCGGATATGCGTTCAGTGGTATCCTAAAATTTAGTGCCCCTTAGTGGATGGGGACAATGGAGACACTGTTTGGTGGCTGTGAGCCGTCAAAATGTGCTGAACAAAACAAACATATTTGATGGATGCCACAGGGCTGTGGGTAGCACTGGATGGCCATCGAGGGCAGGGGATGTCATTTCAAATGCACCAGCTGACCTGCAGAGTTCACGGTCACTGCTCAGCTGCCATTTTATAATGGCATAGTTTTTAACTTTACACTTGATAATTTAAAAATAGAATAAAATAAATCCATCAAGAAACAACTTGCTTTCAAAACATACTTTTAAGCAAATAATAGCTTTTCAAACAGGTATTCATTTAAAATATATTTTTAACAGTAAATGACATCGAGTCATGTCTACAGGAAATATTTCCCCTTTTAAAAAAATATTTGAATTTCTATTAATCGCTATACTTTTTTATTTTGGATTATGATTTTCATAATAAAATCCAGTCATAAGATAATGAAAATACTTGAAGAACAAGGTTTATGGCAGATTTTCTATCCTATTTGGATTAATGTGATTAATATTTATATTATATTGCTTAATATTTCCAACTTAAAAATTTAAATAACTGTTTCCTCCAATCTTTTATTATTTTCTTTTTTGTGTGTGTGTGTGGGGGGATGGGTAACCAGGGATTGAACTCAGGGGCACTTGAGCACTGAGCCACATCCCCAGCCCTATTTTGTATTTTTTTGTAGAGACAGGGTCTCACTGAAGTGCTTAGCACCTTACTTTTGCTGAGGCTGGCTTTGAACTCACCATCCTCCTGCCTCAGCCTCTAGTCTTTTAATGTTTTTTTGTTTGTTTGTTTGTTTGTTTTTTTGTGCTGGTGCTGGGGATGAAACCCAGGGCCTTGCCCCTACTATGTAAGCTTTTTTAAGGTCATTTTAAAATTGACCTATACATTTCACTTTTTGAGGAAATTTTTAAAAAACAAACCTGAGACTTTTTTATTTTTTGAAAACCATTTATTGTAGACTTAAAAAATTATGAGTGGTTTCACTTTTAAAGCCATTGCATGCCCAAACATCAAACACAATTTCAGAATATGAGCTAAAAGACTGAGTAAATAACTTTAAAAATCGGTGACAGGTAGAAGAAAACACAACATGCCAATGTCCTCATTGTCCCTGTCAGGCATGTCTTGAACCACTGTCCACCCTGAACCATGGTTACAGGTTCAAATCAGCAGATACTCGCCGGACAAACCTGCCCTCGTCTGACCCGGGTTTTCTCGACCTTGGCCTTATGCATCCTTGGCTCCATTTCTTCTGGCGGGAGCATCTTGCTGAACCACAGTCCAGTGTCACACACAGGATTTCAGTGTCGGTTCAGGCCCACTGTTACCCGAACCCCACACCTGGCCTTCACAGAGGTGCTCTTCTCTCTTTAAGAGCACCACAAACAAGGGAAATCATGTCTGACATTCTGCAGTGGTAACTTCTAGAATCTGCAGGCTCTGAGACCCTGGATTGAGCAATCCATTGATTCTAGAGTAAACTATCAAGTTTGGGCTGAATGGTTCAAATATGCACCTTTGGCAAACACTTTCTAGAGCTTGTGTGAGAAGACACCTGTTAGCTCTGTCATGTGGCACGTGGATCTAGCAGCAAACGGACCAGTCCAGCCATGGGCACGCACCTGCTGGGTGGGGATATCAGAAGTCTTGCTCTGTCCCGAGGAGCCCAAGATGCAAGGGGAGGAGGGAAATTCTCTGGGCTGGTGCCTGGTACAAGGCTGGGGCAAGGAGGGGGAGCCAGGCTGGGTCTTGGAACCCAGGCACCAGGGTTGGAATGAGAAGAGGACCTGCAGCTTGGTCTGATCTAATCACTGTGTTAAGGTCCCCAGCAGCAGATCCACATTTGCAGGCTGAGTGTCCTTAATAAGAAAAAGAATGCAAAGGTATTTTTTGAAAGTTTTGCAAAAAAAACATGTGGCTGTGAAATGAGGGGCCTCAGCCTCGGTTTTGTAGTGCCTCTGCTCCTTGAGTTTGGCAGCTTCAGTAATGCTGGGCCTACTGACACCAGAACCCTAAGATGGTCACCTGTTGGCCCTCAGGAAAGAGTTCGCAGTCTCCACAGGAGGCCTGGGGTAGAGCTGGTGAGCCTGTAACAAATATTTTCTTGAGTGTCACTTGTCTACCAGGCCAGGGGCTAAGAGCTCATAAAGACAGTAAGATGCACACAGCCCTCCCCCGCCCCACTGGCACCCGCAGTCAGAGCGTGGTGACAGAGAGCCAGGGCCTGGGGAAGCCAACGCCCGAACTTGGGAAGGAACCGGACCCAGCGATGAGGTGCTCTTCCCCTTGGCATCTAGGTGACCGCAGTTGGGGGCATCCAGAAGCAGCCCTTTGCTCAAAACAGTGAAAACCTGGCCCTGGGTTGGGGACAGTTGTCCTTGTAGCCTCCTGAGGCCTGAGCCGGGCCCTGGATGGTGCTGCTTTTCCTCTTGCTGCTTCCCTTGTGATCAATGTGACAAGGCCCGAGGACCCACTCAGGGAGCTCAGAGGTGCTGAAGTCCAGCCATGGTCTCCCCTGGCATCCGTCCTACGTGGAGGACAAGTCATTTTCCATTCAGCCCTTGCTGTGTCCCCGGCACCTGTCATCAGCCCTGACGTGGGGCCTTCCTGGGTGAAGGAAGGAGGAAGGGCGTGTTCTTCCCCAGCTGTCTGGCTGCTGGAGGTGTTGCACTCTCTGTGGGTGCCTTTTCCCTGGATGGGCTGTTGGTGCTCCTCAACCCCAGCACCCTTGACCCTTGGGCCTAGACCTAGCTTTGTTGTGAGGGGCTGTCATGGCCATTCAGGATGCAGGCAGCATTGCTGTCCCTCTCTATAGGTGTAGGCATCCCCCCCCCCACCAGCTGGTGGCAAGCAGGTGTCTGGAGAGAGCCTGGCATCTCTCCGTCAGAACCACCCCTGCTAAGAGGGTCCTGGCTTGGGCAGGAGTTTAGGTGGCTTGTTGAAAGGAAGCTCCAGGGTAGAATGGCCTCTGCCAGCACAGCTGTGCCCACCTCCTCCCAAGCTTGGTGGCAGCAGATGTCCTTGCAGTGCACCCTTTGAGTCACACAGTGATGGAACCGTTTTGAGCACCAACCCTGGGCTGAGCAACGGGTAGTGTGCCTGCAGGTAGATGGTGTGGCCAGAGCCCCAGGAGAGGTGACGTGTTCCCAGGCCAGAGGGCGCCGCGGCTCATGCCAGGCCCAGGTTGACCACGTACCTGCCCTCCCGTTGCCTCCTGTCCTTCCCTTTGTGTGTATTGATCTCAGTCGTCTCCCTGACCCTTCCAGAACCATTTTGGAAATGGGAGGCAGGAAAGAAGAGAGAGGAAGAGAAGAAGAAGGAAAAAGGAGGTAAGAAGGAGGTGAGCCTGGTGCCAGGAGAGACCCGCCCAGAGCTCAGCCTTGGGCTGCACCTGCAGGGTTGGTCCACCCATGAGTCTGACCCTGGAGTGGGGCTGGAGTGGCCTGCCCTGACAAGGACAGCCCTGGACAGAAAGGCAGAAACCTCTCTGTGAGGCAGAAACCTGCTCAGTGGATTCCTACTTGATGAGGCCTCCTGCCGGGAGGAAGCCCTGGGTTCGAAGCAGGCGGGCCACAGGTCTCCACCTAATTGAGCTACAGGAGGATCCTCACCTCCTTCGTTTCACCCTGAATGAGCCGCTTGCCATCCTGTCTCCCTGAGCCCCTCACACCTCCAGGCCTGGGGTTGGGTTTTCTCCATAGCACTTGCAAGACGGGCAGGAGGTGAAGAAGGCCCTATTCCAAGGGAGAGCTGGCTGGGGCCCTCCTTGCTCTAGGGATGACCTGTACTGAGCAGACCCACTGCCACGGGCACAGCGCACCAACACTTAACAACTTCTGGCTGAGCCTCCTCCCCAGCTCCACTGGTGACTTGAGCTAGGCCCCTAGGGTGACCCTGGGGACAAAGTAGACCTTGTTCTGCTGGGCCGGCTGAAGCCAGGGCCAGTTGGTTCCATTTCTGCAAAGCAAACCTGATTCTTCCCATCATCTTGCTCCTTTCCTCTTTCACCTCGGTGTTTTGAGTCCTAGCGTCCACGGCAGAGGTGTGAGTTGACGTGTGACTTGCTGGCCATGCTCACTGAATAGGCGTGGCCAGGACCCAAGTACTGGGCTCCTCTTTAGGGGCTTCAGGAGTGGGACACTAAAAAGAAACAAAGGGAAAGGCGAAAGCTTGATGTCTGGGGTCCAGCTGGAGGCCAAGCCCCAGGTCCAGCTGTGTGACTTCGACAGCTTGCTGAGCTCGCTCTGGGCCTCGGTGTCTCACCTGTCACATAGGTGTGATTAAAGCCTTTTCCATCTTCACGAGTGTCTGCAAGGATGGAAAGCGCCACAGACAGGAGGCACTGAGTGTCCCGCGCACCCACGGCGAGAGCACCCAGGAAGCTCCATTGCTCTCAGAGAGGCGGCTTCCAGGGCTCATTGGCTCTGAAGCTGGTCACCTGACTCTGTGCCCCTTTTTCTTTCAGGTTCCATTTTTTGGACGGAGAATGCACCACACCTGCCCTTGCCTGCCGGGCTTGGCCTGTGTGCGGACTTCATTTAACCGCTTTACTTGTTTAGCTCACAAGTGATGTCTGCAGAGAAGGAACTTTCCATGTGCACAGGGTCCAGAGGCCTGCAGAGCCCGACTTGGGATCCTGCCCTACGAGCAGCGCCGGATAGGAGCGCCCGGCTTCCAAGTAACATTTCATCTTTGATTTTTCAGTGACTTTTTTTTTCCCCGTTGAAAGGGAATTTTAATTTTGGATAGAAATGTGAAGAGCAGAGCATCACGGCACCGATTCTCATTTCCCTGTTGGGTTTTGGTTTGGTTTGGCTTTGTTAGTGCCAGTAACTCACCCACTTGTATGGAAATGGGAATAAGAATTGGTATTTTGTTACAGGAACATTTTCTTTTTTATCCACCCCGCTGCTCCATCCTTGCCTCTGTATGTGTGTGCGTGTGTGTGCGTGTACACACACACAGTGTACACACACATACACACACACACACACACACACACACTTTGGTCTTTGTCTCTTAAAAGATGTGTAAGACCCTGTTTCTTCCCCATTTCCCTCTCTGCCTTATTGGCGTTTTTAAGAGGGAGTTCTGTGTCCTGTGTCCTGTTGGTGGACTCCCTGGTGAGAGCCTAGCTGTCCACTGGATCCTTCAGTGAGAACAAGAGGGGACCCCAGAACCAGGCACTCCACACTCTTCCTTGGCAGTGAGGGCTGGGAGGGCCTCTGGAAGCTGCCTGGACTCGGCCATCCTGATGGGCCTCAGTTCTGCTATGAACTGGGGAGGCCAGAATCAGTGGGAAACCATGTGGATCGAGTCCAGATTCCTAGATTTGGGGTTTTTTCTTGAGTTAAAGAAGTCATTTCCAATACAATAGCACATGTATTCTTCCTTTTTTTATGAAGTTTACATTTTAAAAAGTCCCCTCATTAGAGATGTTCTAAAAAATGTCACTGGGGGAAGAAGTACTCATTGTAATCCAGTGTAACGCTCTCTAGCTACCATTTTTAAATCAGTATTGTTAAATCTAAACTTTGTTGCCATCAGAAGTTCTTTTGCAATGGATTGCCTGATATCCTGTCCTGTGTAACGTGTGTCAATATTGCTGTGTGAAAATTCTGTATCAGAATAATGGCAGTACTGTACGGCACCTGATTTAACTTTAAGACTCTATTTTCACTTTTCTCCTGGTTGTCATTTTTCTTACAAGCACATTCCTGTACAGGCCACATGCTAAAATGGGCAAAGACACCTCCAAGGTTGGCAAAAAATTATCCTCCTGTGATGTGCGTTTTTATTTTACATCCAGGAGCATGGTGTTTGCATGGATTGTAAGGTAGTACCAACAAATAAACTATGTGCGCGTCAGTGAAGCTCTGGAGTATGAAGGGACATTGCAACGTCCCAGAGCAGCAGGCCTGGCATGGACCAAGGGTCAGCCCTGTGATGGAGCTCTCGTGACGGAGCCTCTGTGGTGGGTGGGCAGGCAGGGCACTGGGTTCTGCTGCACAGTGGTGCCAAGGCCACGTGGCCTCGAGAACCCCACCAAGTGTTGCAAATTGACTTAACGTCACAAATAAACAACATATCAGATGTGTTCCACTGACTGGCCTTTCCCCGCGCCAACCCACCAACCATTAAAAGAATAAATAAATAAAAATGTGCATTTTGTAGTTACATACCTGGCCAGGGCTCACAGCAGTACATGGTGTGTGTTTTTGCCCCTGGCGCCTCGTGCCCCATCCATGTGTATGGTTTTGCTGTGCTAATTACCACGCTTGATCAGAGAATGGTTGTTTTTGATTTAGTTAAGTCTGTATTTAAGAAACATCCCTTAGCAAGTTGGTTGGGGGAAAAAAATGGGCAAGTGGAATTATGGGTAAAGAAACAGGCAGTTTTGCAATCTGGGTCAACTGGTTTTCATAGTGTGTTGAAGACACCCTGCTCTGTAAGGAGTGAAAACTTGACTGGGTCAAGGGTCCATCTTCACCAAAATTAAGAAAAACATCCGCAACTCTGATAATAATTTTGCTTTCACATACCCCGACCCAGTTTTGTAAAAAATTGGTTACCTGTAGGGGTGGACAGTGTGGCTCGTGTAGCAGGTTAAGAAAGAACTGTCCAGCAGACTCAGTAATACCCAGAGGAGCACAGAGTGTGGTCCATAAAGTGTACGCTGGACACCAGAGACTAAAATCGAGACAGTGGGAAGTTGGGGTACGTGACAGCGGGGCCAGGTTCTGTGGAATGAATACCTGGTGTCTTTAAACCCCTGGGGGTTTCACATGCTGTCCATCCTGCCCAGAGGTGTGAG